AGGGGGGACTCCATGACTCACCAAGAAAGACTGAACAGCTTTGTGATTACTGAGGCAATTTTGCAACTGACCCAAGGCCAAAATATCAAAATTTGCCTTCATCAGTTGTCTTGACAGTTGCTTTCAGGGCAGGAGTTGGTGGAAATTTATCCCCATCATCATTAGTACTGCTCTCCCATTAAGAGTTTCCACTAATTTGTGGTAAACCACTGGCCAAGAGCCGGGACAACACAGGCCAGACACAATGCCAATAAAACAATCACTGGAGGCAGTTCTGGTACATAAAACCACACCCCTACAGCGCTAAGCACAGCTATGGCATGGTCCCACAGCCAGTCCCACATCTCATTACCCACATCGTCCAGAGACAGAGCCAGCCTAACAAATCCTGAATATTAATGGATAATGAGCTAATGAATGCATTAGTGCTAATTTAGTGACATTCAGATAGAAGATGCTGAAGATTTGAAAACATTATACTTACATTAATGTATCCTGACACACTGACAATTTAGAGGATGGTTTCTATAAGCCTGTGAGTTTTCAAAGCTAAACCTCCACCTCCTACTTCTCCTGCGATTCTCTCCTCCTTAATCCCTTTTCTAAGCATCCCAGGGGCTGTGCAGATCAATCACCATAAACAGGCAATTCCTACTCCCTGGCACAGCTCTCTGTGTTGGACAGCACCCACATGCAGCTGAAACAGGGGTTTTTCCTCTTAAATCCCTTTTCTTCACAGGGTCCTTTCAACCTCTGCTCCCTCGCTCAGCTGTTCAGCGTACTGCACTCAAATTTGATAGCTACTGCTTAGTGGTGCAAAGAAACCTCACTGGTGCCATGCTAATGATAGCTCAATCTCTCCCCACCTCCACAGCTCTTCCCCCAACATCTCTGCTTCCCTCCCAGCGTCTGGAGAGGAGAGCTCTGCAGTGTGGGAGAGAGGAGACTCAACTGCACACGCAATGGTGCTGCAGCAGCCGGAGCTGCGCGCCCGTCACGGGAGGTGAGAGAGGTGAACCAGACCCCGTTTCTGCAGGCACCTGAAACTGATTGCCTACAGCCTTGGCAAGCCAAGGCCAAGCTGCAGATGGGTTGTATCCTTCCTGCCTAGGAGGACATGGCTCCTCAGGGCCCTGAAGACAGGGATGCTGCCTAGTGGTCAGCTGGATGTTGTTTCAGTGGCACTGCCATCCACGGTGCAGCCTTTCACCTGACAAAGAAAAGCTGCTTGATTTAAAGAGGTGGCATTACAGAACCTCTTGCTCCAGGGATTTGAGGGCACTTCCAATCTGCAAGCAGAGGAAGAGACAACAAACCAGAGTCAAGCCAGGACAGTGAGTGAAAGGTTTATACATTTAAGCTGGACACAAGTTTTTTCAGCTCTTCCATGTTCAGGCCAGGGAAAGGACTTCTTGCTGTCCTGTTTTAGATTTCCCAAGTCAATACACCTGAGGCAACGTCTTGAGTCCACTTGTATTTGTTATGCCTAAGAATAAACCAAGAAGGTGCAGTGGCTGTATGTCCTTTGTAATAGCTTAGCAGGGGCACTTGCCATGCCTAAGTATCTTCCACAGGCCACAGGTTGAGAACTGACAGTAAATATAATCCCCTGGCAGTGCCCCTTTACAGTACTGGAGAACCCCTGGGAGCACCCTGGCAGAGCCCAGGGGAGTTCTCCAGCACTACAGCAGCACAAAGGGGTGTGGACACGAGAGGGGCACCCACCACGGCAGCTGTGCTGTACCTGGCCCTCATAGATGAGCTGATGCTCCCAGCATTTCTCTTGCAAGGGCCCAGCAGCTGCAGTGGCCTTGTCCAGCTCTTCTGGTATTTCCCCAGGTTGTGGCATTTCCATCTGTTTTCTGGTGAGGACAGTACCAAGCCCACAGCAGCCACTCTGGACCCCATACCTACTCAGCCACAAAGCCAGAGAGAAAGCCTGGGCTCAAACACATGGGCAGGGCAAAGAGAAGAGGCAGCAGAAACAAGTAGATTAAGGACAGGATGCACACACCTACCAAGTACTTCATCTCTTGCAAACATTAGGCTGTTGCCTGAATAGAATCCAAGACTCCTTTTTTTCCCCCCCTTACATGTGAAGGTTCAGTCTGCTCACTTTTTACATTCATAAAATCTCTTGGTAAACAACCTCAGACATGCAGGACTCTGAAATCCTGAGGGATGAGGCAAATACCCCATGTCTAACCCAACATTACACCTGAGAAACACAAAACATCTTCGTTCACCCTATCCAAATGGCCTAACAAAAGTCTCCCCAAGAAGCCCTTGGTCAAGCAGATCCTGAGAACTCCCCATATCCCTTGTAAGTATCAAGTTACAGCTACATTCATGATTTCTGCAACTGCACATCCCAAACCCAAGGAGAATGTACCAGCTCCCTGTCTAGATTTCTGTCAAGCGTGGAGATTTAGATGATTAGGACCTCTCTGCCACCAGCTAGCTGAGAAGGAAACTTGATCAAGCCAAAAATAACCTGATGCTCAGGCAGTAAAAACAATTAGCACTCAGCCATCACAGCAGCAGAATGCAGCTGCTGCTTCTGCTCAGTCTGGCACAGTCTGTACACCTAAATAACAGGGATACGTCAGATTTGTCATCTGTAACGAGCCAGGTACACAGGACTCTATTCTCACATAAACACCAGCCCTTTCAGCACAGACAGCTCTTTGTAAAACCAGCAGGAAACATCTGGGGCCCCACTGGACCTGCTGCTTACAAACAGAGAGGGGTTGGTAGGAGATGTAGTGGTCGGAGGCCGCCTAGGGCACAGTGACCATGAAATAATAGAGTTTGCAATACTCAGGGATACAAGGAAGGCCACCAATAAAACCTCCACGCTGGACTTCCAGAGGGCAGATTTTGGCCTGTTCAGAGGACTGGTCCAGAGCATACTCCGGGAAAAAACCCTTGAAAGCAAGGGGGTACAGGAGGGATGGACGTGCTTCAAGAAGGAAGTCTTGAGTGCACGTGCAGGAGCTCCAGCAATCCCAAAATGCAATGGATACACCCCTCAGCAGGGAACAATGAGGTCTCTACAGCCTGCTGGGGAGAAATGAGTTAACTCATATTGCCTCCTCTGTCGTCACTGCATGCAGAAAAGGACATGCAAAGTCTGCTCAGGCCTTTCCATGCAACCTTTCCTCTGACCACTTCAGAGCTGCATCTCCCAAGCAGGCTCAGCACTTCACCCTCCTCCACACTGCTCTTCTGCAGCCCCTGGGCATGGCAACTCATGCCCCCAAGCTCCCTGTGGCCGTAAAAGCATCCTGCCCCAAGAATCACCACTATCAGGGACCAAGCCACAGTGAGAGGTATGGCCCAGCTGCAGAATTTTATTGCCCATAGGTTTCAAATTTCCTTCAGCGGGGACCACAGGAAAGTTTCTTTCCGTGTCACAGGATGTGTTATATAGCAATCAAAACCCGTTAAGTGCTCAGTTTCCCCAGAACACGATAAAAAAGCTCTGTTGCTCTACTAGTTTCTCAAACAGGAGCTATAATTAAACACAGCAACCACACTCCTGCCGGCCTGCCAACCACCACCTGCAGGAACGCGCCAACCCCTCCATGCGAGCCCCGGCAGCACCTCAGGGGGGAAATGTTTGTTTGCCTCTCGCAGCAGCTGGCGGGGCAGCCTGTGACATGGTGAATGTGCTCAGTAAGGCACCCTGCACAGCTACTGCGACCAGCACAGCACTCAAGACACCCCACAAGTGCCCAGCTGGACACCTGGTCCTACTGCACTGGCTCAGCAGGCTCCCAGCACAGGGGACAAACAGAGTTCACCTTTCATTCACCATGTGCATGCACACACCCCACACCAAGTGCAAGCCCAGCCTCACTCCCCTGCCTTCTCAAGTAGCCCATCCCTTACTGCTGAGGTGTGTTTTGGCTGCAAATACAAAGGATGTGAGGTACCATGAGCAAGGTACAATGAGCTGCTTCAGTGGTGGCCATCTGTATTATTTACATAAAATCGACTTCCTCCATCATCCTCCTCCCTCTCAGCCCAGCTGACCACAGCGATCCATCACCCCAAAGCTGTCCTTGCTCTTCCCAAAGTCTCGGCAGCCACTTCCCAGCCTCAGCCCATAGCCTGCACGCAGCCCCTCACTGTCTCAACAGATGGCCACGACCAAGCAGTTAAGTTTCCCAGGGAGCTGAGAGGATGGAGAGAGAGAGAGAGGCAAGCAGGACATACTAGGATCAGGTGCTGTTTTTCTTTAAGGGCATTAAAAGAGGAGAATTCCTCTTTGATTCCCAGCTGGCTTAGACAGGTGTTTGTGAGAGACAGTCCCAGAAGCTTAGCAGGCCATCTGTCCTGCAGATGACTTGTACAGGGAAACATTAGAAGGAAAAACCCATATTCACAGACAGAAAAACACACAGGCAAACACACACACAAAAAAGCACAACTTCCCCACACACAAAAAACACACACACAAACCAAAAAAAAACAAAACAAAAAACCCAACCAACCAAACAAAAACAAAAAACAAAACAAAACAAAAAACAACCACCAAGTAAATTAACCCCTGCTACTGAAAAAGAGCAGCTCAAAAAGTTAGGAAAGCCCTTCAACCAGACAGGGCAATAAAGGTTGGTTGGTTTTACAGAAAATCTGATGCAACTCTACATTTCATCTCCTCTGCCTCACACCTGAGGCATGACACAGGCTCAAAGGAGCTCTATGGAAAGTAACCCTGGGACCACAGAAAAGCCCATACACGTGTTCCTTGCTCACAACACTGCTGAATAGTGGATCTTCACAGTAAAACGGGGCTTCTTGCACCTCTTCTCCCAACACCCTCAAACCTCCACAGGTTTTCTTCCCACTGTGCCCCTAAGGACCTGGCAAGAGCCTTTCATAAAAGCTCCAGGTAGCTGATGCTCTTTATTCCAAACAATTCCTAACACCTCTGTCCCTTTCCAGAACTCAAAGGAAAACTGTAAGAAACTGTATTTTGGGAGATTAAGTTCCCTGAGCCACACACAAACACAACAGCCCTCTGTATACTGTCACTGAATGGTGATTTCAAAGCCATTCTTGACAGATTCCCTCTCAAAAGATGACGATCTACACCTCCAGCAACATTAGTTCTCTATCTGCAACCCTGGAACTTACCCAGCACAATGCAACTACTGTGATTTATACACTACCAACATGTCTACAGCCATGAAAGGGAAGATTAAATGAGTGTGTGCCACTCCAGCACCCCAAAAGCAGATTCCCAAGCTGTTACATGGGCAAACTTGCAGCCCCAGCCTAAGAACAACGCCTGCAGGACACACCAGCAGCAGCAGATTTTTTTTCTTCCATTTGTGTAGAAAACAAAGGGTTTCTCATCTTCACAGTCTGTCATGGTATGACCAGATGTGCAGTCTAGGCACATACACAATGGGGAGAAAAAAGGGCAGACGAATAAATTTGCATTAAGCAGGGGAGACTGCCTTTTGGTCTAGCCAGCATATTTCCTGAGTTCCAGGCACATAAACACTCACAGGACTCACACCTTTCGTTTTGCAAGCAATAAAGTTTGCTACAATGATACACAAGTCTGTAAATCAGGCCTGATACAAAAGGGCCCCAGTGACTATCAGCCAACACCTGAGCTGTCAACAACCCAATCTTACAGAGTATTTCCCATAGTACACAATTACATCCACATCCTGTAAGAGCGTGTTAATTACATAAATACATTTAATTTATAAATAATAGCAAGTTGTAGATTAGCAAATTAAACATATATAAACATATAAATATTTAAATAAATAAATATATAAATATATAAATAAAAGACAGGGGGTGATTTGTGCAGACTTACTTTGGGACCTGCTGTATGGTGAGGACCTCTTGACTGGTTAGTAAAGAGAATTCAGACCACCAAGACCAGCCAGCTGTCATTCACCCACATTTTGGTCTCAGGGGGAGAGGAGCACCTTGTCCCAGACTCCTTGCTGGGAGATATCATTGAGAGCCTTGACTCCTGCTTCTGGGTTAACCATTTACTGCCCTAGAGACTGATATCACCTGATATCTCTGAGCCCTGGACTACCACTCTACACACCACTTGGACCCATCA